TATCTTGTGGGGGATCGGTCCAGGGGGGCAAAGTCTCGACTTGGGCGGTCTCACAGGGGGCTGTTGGGAAAGAGGGGTTGCGGACGATGTTGCGTGTAGCTGGTTTTGGCCTCCATCGTCAGGCGTTTTCCTCTATGACTGCCGTCGCCTCGAGGCGTCCGAAAAACTAACTGCATGTATTACCTCCCGCTTGCTCTCCCTTCGTCCGCCCCGAACAACGACATCCAATCGCGGATAAAGGGGGCGATTTCTGAGCTTCGGGAGGCTCCCAGAGATTTCCAGGAGCCTTCGGAGGTGCATCCCTCGGAGGCGTCAGGAGACTTCCTGAGGGATTTGAACAAGGGAGCGGAAGCAGCGACTTCGAATCGCCCATTCATCGCCGATCGGGGCTTGAATGCCCCACCCTGCCAAGGAACGTGCAGCACATGGCCGATTCATTGGTCGTCGTTACATGGCCGATTCCAGGCCAATGTCCCGATGGGAGCCAGTACGCCCTTCCCAGACCTCCGACGCTGTTTTTCTTTCCATGCGTGGGACCTCGACTTGAGGCCGCTCTCGGCGGTATCCCGAGTCGTATGCCGACGGCGTCCTGGACCTATAGCCATCATCCAGACCGAGGATGACGAAAAGCGAAATTAGTCGCGCTTTGCCAGGCAAATCACATCGGAACGTGGCAAGGCACCACGCCCTGGCAGACATGACGGACGATTTCCTGGATTTGTGCGCGTGATCCTCCTGCGTGCACTGACACCTGCTTTTTCCCCTCGCGCCCCACATGGCCTCGCCCTCGTGCGAGCGGGGTGACGTGACTTGTCCACGGTCCTCGCCGCCCCCTCCCGTCTCTCCCCTTCCTCCTCTTCCTCCTCCTCCTCTTCCCCCTCCGCCTCCTCATCCACCTCGTCCTCCTCCTCCTTCCCCCTCCTCCTCCCCCTCCTCCTCCTCCTCCTCCTCCTCCTCCTCCTCTTCCCCTCCTCCTCCCCCTCCTCCTCCTCCTCCTCTTCCTCCTCCTCTCCTCCTCCTCCTCCTTCCTCCTCCTCCTCCTCCTCCTCCTCCCCCTCCTCCTCCTTCCCCCTCCTCCTCCTCCTCCTCCTCCTCCTCCTCCTCCTCCTCCTCCTCCTCCCTCCTCCCCTCCGCCTCCTCCTCCTCCTCCTCCTCCTCCTCCTCCTCCCCTCCGCCTCCGCCTCCTCATCTTCCTCCTCCTCGTCCTCCCCCACCTCTCCTCCCCCTCCTCCCCCTCCTCCGCCTCTTCCTCCTCCTACATACTGCCTCCTCCGCCCCCTCCTCCTCCTCCTCCTCCTCTGCGCGAGCCCCACCGCCCTCTGGGGGCACGGGCGCGAGGCCACCAGCAGCGCTGCCTCCCGTCCCGTCCTGTCCTGTCCCGTCTTCCTTCCTCAGATCCGACGCTGCGAGCAAAAGAATGCAACGTCGCCCAAAGTCACGACCACAGCCCTAGACCCCATCTTCCTGCGCCGTTTCTCCAGCCCGATCGATCTGTGAGGGTCCTGGGGCCCGACAGCTGCCGAAAACGCTCAGCGCGAAAAAGATTGCAACGCCCGGATTTCGGGGGCTGGCTTCGCCCAGGCCCCGCGCAGAGAGGGGCAGGGAAGGGGAACGGCTTTTCAGAAGCACCCTGCTTCTTGGAGGGCGCGAGCTTCTCGCTGCATGCAAGGCCGGCGCCTTCTGAGAAGCCAGGGGTGCTTGTGGGAAGCTCTCCCCTCTCCCCCTGCCCCCTTGTTCAGGAGGGAAAGAAACACACAGACACAATTAATCCTCGACTCCCCAGAAGATATGGGAAACTATGGGAAGTGGGGGGGGAGCCAGAAGCCCAGAAGATATGGGAAAATATGGGGAGTCCTGTTATTTGTGTGCATTTATTTGCGTGTTTGTGGGCCCCTTCATCTAAGAAGCCAGGGGTGCCTGTGGGAAGCTCCCCCCTCTCCCCCCTGCCCCCTTGTGCGCGCCGCCGAGGCCGGCCTGACCCCCTCGCCCGTCTCGGCGGAGGCAAAGTCCACACGCAGGGAGTCCCTGCGGAGTGCTCGCTCTCCGCCCGGACCTCCTTGCCCAGGAGGGGAAAACACACACAGACACAATTCATCGCCGATCCCCCAGAAAATATGGCAAACTGTGGGAAGTGGGGGGGAAGACAAAAACCCAGAGAATATGGGAAAATATGGGTCATCCTTTGATTTGTGTGTATTTATTTGTGTGTCCTGGGGCCCCTTCAATTGCCCAGACCCCCGACGTCGTGATTCTGTCACGACGTCGACCCCCAGAGGTTTGCGCCCCTTCCCCGGGACCGGTTTCTCGTCCCGGGTCGTGTTTTCGCAGTCCCGAGGCCCGGGAAGGGCCCCCCAGAGGCGGAACACGGCGAGAAGCCTCCCGCCGTGACTTTCTCCCAGCGCGAGGTCGGGGGAGCTCCCTCGGGACCTCGCCTCTCCGGACCGCCCCAGGTGCGGATCCCCGGCTGGGAGAGCAACTTCTGGCAGCTGGCCGGCGGCAGGACCGGGCCCCGCGTGGGCGCGCCCTCGCCCGCTCCCGCCCAGCCCGCGGCGCGCGGTCCGCCCCCGTCCCCTCGGGGGTCCCGCGGGCGCGGGTTGGCCCACCGTGCGCTCACGGGCGGGGCGGATTGCCGGAGGATCGAAGCGGGTGCTCGTCGGTCGTTGAAGGTAGGTGTTTTTGAGTCGGGCCTGTCCCCCCACGGGAGGAGCATTCAAGAATAGTAAAAAATAGTCGGGGGACGACTTTTTAAAAGTATGTTTGAGCATTTTTTGTTTTAAAGATTTGTCGTCCAAAATCCGCCTGTAGGGGGACATGCCCGACCTAAGCTATTTATGGATCCCCAGATCCCAATCTACCTTAGGCGCCTTCCTACTTCAAGGATCGAGCGGTTTTGCCTCTCTTCCCTTCTCTTCAGGGGGCGCGCGGAAGCCCAATCTACTTCAACGCTCTTTTCCTTCACGTTTCTATCCTCTTCTTCTGACCGACGGGTATGGAAAGGCTAGGTGCAAAGACCGACAGCAGTTCTTGCTCATTTTGAACGGGACTCGCTGTTGGTGTCGCCGCGGCCTTTGCCCATTTGAGACCCAAGGCCGCCTCCCCAACAGCGGCCGCTGTCGGTTTTTGACAACACTTTTGTTGGGCATCGTACCCATTTTTTCCGTACCAATTTCGGGCGTCCAAAGATCGGTAGGTCGGGCCTGCCATACAAATCATACCCTTTGTCCTGTGCGTCGCGCCTGGCGGTCTTTGCCTTCGCGTGACAAGGGCACCCTTGTGTCCTGTGGTTTTTTGGATCTTGCCGTCGGACGAGTCTTGTGTCCTGTTGCGTGCCCTGTGCAATCAGCCCCAACTGTTCAAGTTCGAGCTCCGCTCCTTCAAAACTTCCACTTCCGCGCTGCGCACGCGCTCCGGCACACGTTCACGGACTTCACGTTGTGAGCGTGCTTCCCTCCCCCTTCGAGCGCTTCTTCTCCCCCTTATCCGCCCGCTGCGCCCAGTTCGGCCCCGTTGCATCCCACGGCTGCCCCCGAGAACGCGGGGAGGACTCGCCGCTGCGGCAAAAACGTGTTGGCCCACCGTGTGCTTGCTTGTAGATCTCTTAGATGGGTTCCGAGTGGATGGTGTCGAAAGATCTTGCCGCATCGCCGACGAATCGGCAACGCGGCGAGATCTCCCGACCCCATCTATTCCGACCGCATATGGGAGGCTTCAAGTCTAGACGCTTCGCGTAACCCCATTATTGGAGGACTGGCTAAGTGTTCGGCTGGAACACCGAGTGACAGCTGACAGCTGACTGCGGGGAGGAAGCAGTACGAACGGTGCTGCTGTCACACAAAGGACCCAACACCGACGAAATCGCCTGTCTCCGCGTGGTCTTCCCACGCTTCCCCGGGCGGGTCATCGCAGACGACAAGCGGGGGCTTCATCCGCATTGTCGCGTCTACCCAACCAATGGCTTTCTGGTCAAGCACGACACGGTCGACGGGCCACTGCATAGCACCTTTGCTGTAGCGCCCCTGCCTGAAAAAAGGCAGGTGCGCCTCACTAGCGCGTCGACATCGCGCCCACTGCGATCCAGCACGAAGAGGTCAAAACCGCCCTGACGAACATGTTCCATTCCAACGTACACCGGGATGATCTATGGGGGACCACGCTTGCTGTGTTGACATACACGCTGGCCTTTGCGACAGACGACAACGGGAAGAAACAAAGTTCCAACGACACCTACAGGAGCGCACTAAGCGGACACTTTCTGCGCTTCCGAAGTCGTGCAACGCTCGGAGGCCAGTTGCTTGATCCTGACCAGCTTGGCGACCCGGTGAGCAGGCCGGATGCGTTGGAACCGATCACGAACGCTGAAATAGACGAACACCCAGGCTCGGTGTGGCAGCGTGCCAACAACGTGCCTGCTGAGGTCACCATCAAAGGGGTCATTGCAGCGCATGACCTCACCGATGACCACACGCAGGCACTCCGCTCATCCGTCAAACATCTCGACACGGCGATGCAAGGCCCACCTGGCACAGGGAAAACACGTTTCGCCGCCGTACTAGCCAGGCTTTGGGCACATGTCGCGGGACTCGGTTCCACGGTTCTCGCCTTCGCTGGCTCCGACGCAGCAGCAGACCAAACAGCCGCCGCCTTCGAAAGAGCACGCAGAGAGGGCCGCCTCCAGAACTTTCCGCAATGCCCGAGCTGAGTTGTACGATTTGCAGGGGGCGAACGCATTGCACATCCTGGCGCTCACAAGTTGTCCGCCACCAGTCACTATCGACGTGCGTGGAACATCGAGCCCAACAGGTCCGACAAGAGCAAGAGCTGGCGGAAGTTCAAAGACGACCTCAGCAGCAAATGCAGCATTCTCATTGCGACCCACGAAGGCTCCTTGAGGCTCGACCAGCCCAACGCACCCAAGGTTATCCTAGGTGTCATCGACGAGGCGGGCCAGGTCAACGACGTCTCTGCTGCCATCTCCATCGGCATCATGGTCGACTGTGGCGCCCGCGTCGTTCTCGTGGGCGATCCCAAGCAGCTCCCGCCAACCGTGCAGTCCCGGTACGCAGAATACTTGGGGCTACAAGTTTCCCTTGTCGAAAAAAAAAACAGGGCTCCCTGGGCGAGGACAGCCCTGCCGCAGTACTTCTCACAAAGTGCTTCAGGTGCCACCCCGACGTCCTTAGCTTCTCCAGGTTCGCTTACTACTGCAAGCAGATCGTGTCAGGCCTCGTCGCGCCACTACAAGACCGTCCCATTGTCAACGGGCTTCCGTGGGTCAAGCGCCGTCCACTGGACAGCGAGCGACTGGAGTCTGTCGCCAAAAAGCTAGGAAAAAGGCGTGGACGAATTCAGGGGCGAGATCTGCGACCTGCACGCCTAGGGGGCGATGCCTGGAGACGACCACCGTGTGCTGATGATCGACAATCCACATGCGGACATCACCTCCAATGCCAGGAGCGGTTGCGCCAACCTCCACGAGGCTGCCACATGCCTTGAAGTAGTTCGCGCGCTTGGCCCCGCCATGCTTAACTCTGGACTATCCGCCGAAGTGATCGCCCCCTACGCTGTGCAGCGGGCCGCGCTGTGCGGCGGGCGGCCGCAGGGCAAGAGTGGTTTTTGGAAGAACGCCGCGCTGGCTGAATCGAAACAGGGTAAGAAAATCCAAGGCGCTACAGCGGCTTCCGAGCCAAATCCATGCGGTCAGCCACCCGCTCCCTTTTCCCCATTTCATTCCCAGCCACGCGGGTTTAGCGCGCGCGCCCGCTCTGCTCCTCCTGCCCGCGCCTCCGGCCTAGGCGCCGACTGCCCGCTCGACGGCCCTCCGACATCCGACAACGGGTTGGCACTTCCGTTCGAGGGATTGGCCGAAACGTTCCCTGACCTGGTGGAGTCTGGTCAGCTCTCCCTCTCCGCGATTGACGCCTGTCATGGAGGAGAAGCTGACTTAGTTATTTACCTTGCCACGCGCTCCAACGGGTCCTACGACTGGGGTTTCCTCGACGCGCCAAACAGGATCAACGTCGCCCTGGCCAGAGCTAAACGGTTCGTGGTTCTCATCGGAGACAAGCGCGTGTTCAAGGCTGTGACCGAGTCTGCTCTTCGGGCCCTCGCCGCATACGGCGTGGCCGCGGACCTCTCGGCGAGACCTGCCTCCGCTGGGCCTGGGGGGGCGGGTGGCCCAGCGGGGGATGGGGGCCCTTCAGCTCCCACTAGCTCACTCGGATCCAACCGCTGAAATCGGGGCCGCCGTGCCGGGCAGCAACCCCACCGCAGCGGCGCCGAGTGTGCGTCCAGCATCCTGAAGCAGAAGGTTGAAATGCGACGGGGCCAGGCCAGAGGTTTCGTCTACAGCATCGACAGACCGCTACCGGAAGGGTTTGAATTGGGTAACCCTGGCAAAGCAGCTCAACGACTCACTAGTGGAGCTCCTGGCCGCACCCGCTCTCTTTCTTGTTATCCTCCTTGTTTCTGGCCTCCGCCCTCGCGCGCTGAGCGCCCGCGCGACGTCCCAGCGGCCCCGATCTCTATGACAGGGAGATGTGGGGCCACAAAGGGCCTAGCTACGACGTTGCGGTTGGAATTGATGCCGGCAACCTGACGTGCAACAATCTCTGGGCTTGCCTGATGCGCGCGGTCGGGGATGGCCGCAAGTGGGGCGACAACGGCGTTTCGCTCTCGGCGGCCAACCTGCCCGAAAGACCAAAAGGCTGCCCGCGGAAACGCGCATCCAAGGACTGTCGGGGCTCGCCGGGTGGCGTTGATAAACAGCTACCCACGATGTGGAGTGCCAAGGCGACGCAGTGTCCAATGCACCAACTTCATCCAGGGGTGGGCGACCTGGAAAACACCATCGAAAGCGACTACATGCCTACTGACCCCACCGCGCGTGCTCAGACCTGCACGGCCCTCGTGATGATGATGCTAGCGCTTCGGGAACCAAGAACCTGTCTCCTCCCATTCCCGAACAAGAAGGGACAGGGGATATCGTGGAGGCCGTCCTGGGCATTTGCAAACCTTACAGCTCAACTGGCACCGCATCCGTCGCAAAGGACCTTCATGTCCGGGCGCAGTTTGGCCTGGCATGGAAGATTTCCAACCGCGACTACCAGAACCTGTGTCGGAAATTCACCGACGCGCTAAGACACGAGCGTGCTTGCAATATCAGCCACCATCGCGATGTCTCGAAACAAGCAGGATGTCCGTCAACGTGGGAAGGCAAGCGTTCTGACGTTCATCAAAGGGACCCTGCTGGTGATCGACCAGCTCATCGAACCGCTCCAAATACCGATGGCTCCGACGAGTGACCAGCCTGACAACGAGACAACCGGCTGCACCATCTGCTGGCTCTACAAATCCATCGCAGGGAATCACAAGCATCTCTGGTGCACGCCGGACCAGAAGCTGCACTATGCGGGCACAGGGCGAGAGATGGACCAGATTGGCCTTCTCATGCCTGAACCCCCTACAGCGAAACATGGCGCCACGATGACACCGAAAAAGGCC